GCCACTCTTTTTATCATGTGGGTTCCAAACTTTAAGTCCCTACATCTCATCCATTTCCCGTCAGCCATACCTATCTGCGCTTCTTACTAAAATATTCCAATATCCGTAAATCTCTGATGGAACTACCAAGCCCATAAAGCCTTCAGAGACATTCAGAGGAGATCCAGCTAAGCAGAAACCATTGCACCATCCAAGCTATAGCAGTATCTCGTGTTTTTCTGAGATTCATGGTGAGGCCTCCTTTCCATCGGAGTAGCTGGCACAGCATCCTTTCCACTTCACAACCCACTGCAGACACCACCACGTGATCACCACATTCTGGACAGCTGTAGGTCCACTCCGTTCCAGACCCATTTCTCCACATATCCAATCCAACCCAACATGGGCTCACCCACACAGTCACAGTATAGCCGCAGTGCTGTACTGTGCCTTTCCCTACTCATCGGCAACCACAACCGAGGACCCTTACTGTGTCTGTATTTCCCAACAAAGACCGCCTCGGAAATGTATGGATTATGTTTTTGAGTGTGGCCGCGTCCAAAAGCAACTCCCGGGCCGAATCTCCAGCCCTTAATCATCACCCCCCCAAAGGTGAGCTGAGAGTAGGCATCCAGGAAGGGGAAGGTGAGTACACTGGAAAGGCAAAAGGAGGAATAAGGCTCTTGGGGTTGTTTTTGGACCGGGAATTATTTACGTCTCTTGTTTTCTCTGACAAAGTTTTTCCTTCTTGTTGTCCGTCGGACCTCAGGCAGACTTTCAATGGGGGGGGTTCTTCGATCTCCTTACTGTCTGTAAAGTCATTCAGGAAACCTAACATGTCCACATGATCCAGCTGCTTTGCATTCCAGTTGCGCTACGGCTCAGTCGTGGCTCCGTCGCTGTTTCAGTGTCCACAGGAAACATTTCAGAAACAGAGCGTCCGCTCTTAATCGGACACATTTCTAATATAGTTTGTAAAACTGTTAGCTCAGATCAAGCAATCTGACTGGTTCATAGGCACGATGTAGTAACCACATGTTCGTCTAATTCCTTTGCACTTTCGGTGTCACTCCGCGTCTGAGAAGAAAATGTTACACGAATGTGTTGCTAAGTGACAGGGTCACAGGGGGAGCACTTCTGCAAACATGAGCGGGTTACAGACACAAAGTCACAAAGTTAGCTGCTAAAAGAGCGACTGGCAACCCAAACTCAGGGGACCGCAGAAAGTGGAGCAACATCCTCAACCCCGCCAAGCAAATCACCTCCACCAGACAAAAAAAATATAAAAACAACCCGAGTGCAAGCAGACATCCTACTGACTCTGGAGAGTTTTTCAGTGGTTGCTCAGAAACAGAAAACTATACAAATGAGACCAACTATACTGTGAATTCAGCTGTAATTAAAACACCACACAGGTGATCATGCAGAAAAAGAGGTGACAGAGCGGAGGATTAACCAGACCACTCTGTCCCACTCCTGTCCAGATGTTGGCTTCGACGTTTGGTTTTGTTGTTCGCCAAAATCAAAAGAGGAAGAGAAGGAGGTGTAGCTCTCCTTTTGTTTCTCTGTATAGGCCTTGCTTTTAAGACAAAATAATTTGTCTAAGTGACAAATGAAATGCATCCGTAGATATTGATTGCCAATAAATATAGGCATATATGTATATATATATATATATATAGGTGAAGTTCTTTGACGAAGAAAGACAAAGAGTGAGACACTAATACCCGGCAGCCACAATGCGTCACAGCAGGATCAAGTGGACATTGGCCATAAAACTACAAAAATGGACAGCCGAGCTTGTTTTTGTGGGTCATCTAAGAATGTCACAAACAAAAAAAATACATCCATTATAGATTCTAGAAATTGTGCAGGTATTTAACGTAACGAGATGGAAGTCCCCATGAGATGATTGTCCTGGACGGTCTGTTAAATGTGCACAGAATTGGTGTGAAATATGAGGATGGAGATGCAGAGAGCAGGCTTCCTGTAAACCTGTACAGAGAGGTTTGCAGTTTGTGACCCCCCCCCCTCTGTGCTTTGGCACCCATCCTCCTTCCCTGTCAACATGATCTCAGAGCTGAGAGGAGGCTTGCCGCATCAGCGAAGGAGAGGAGAGGATCGAAGACGGGGGGGGGGGGGGGGGGGGGGGAAGGCAGCAAAAAGTGGAAGCTAAATCATTTCTTCATTCCGCTCAATATCTTTCCCATCTGTTGCTACCTTGCTCAGAAAAAAACAAAACGACTGCGATGCCAGGCGAGCGCGATTCAAATTAGCAGCGGTGTCAACTCCATTCCTCATTAAGAGCAGCTCATGCGCTTTCCTCTGAGGAGGTTAAAAAGAGCAGTGGAAGTGAGAACAGGAGAATTGGGGCAGCGGTGTAATTTGGCTTCCTCAAACTTTCACCTTTCACTTCATTCCCTTCCCTCTCCTCTAGAGACTTGAGTTGAGCTTTAGCCAAAAGGTTTCTGTCTCTCTCGTTCCTTCCATTTCCTCTCCCTTAACCCCCTTATGTCTTGTTCGGTCCTGCCCTCTTTGCCCCATCCATAATATTAAGGGGGCGAACCAATCTACCATACTTATTTCAGACATCCGATACTATATTCAACTCTGTTTTTTTCTTGGCCCTGTTTCCACTGTATGGGAAAGTAGATGGCCGTGCAGATCTACCGTGCTCGAGAACAAAGTTTAAAAAAACAACATATTTAGATGAATGGGGGGATACGGAGGAGGAGGGGAAACAAAGGGAGTGCTGTTGTGTCTGAGCGTGGCTGGCCGTGCACCTGCAGACGGTAAGTAGAACAGAGTAAAAATAATGTTTGCTCATCCGAAGATGATGGAGCATCTCGTAGAATAGGAACTCCGAGTGAATGAACCAAGTTGTTGCATTCCACAAGGGACGCAACTGCCCCGATTCATGCCAGACTTGACCCAAAGTGCTTTAAATCGGCTTTATCATAGTCTAGCCTCATTAAAAAAACAGCGGACAAGCCGAGGAAGTGTTGCTGCAGAGACAATTCCAGGACCAGAGGCCCTTTATTGAAATGCCAGACCAAGAAGCACACCAGAGGCCACGTTATTTTCCACTTTCTGGCACGCACATCTCTGCAGGAGCTCAAGAGCAGCCAAACTGCAGCACCGGCAGCCCTGTGGTTCAGCCAACCACCCGTGTTCAGGTTCATCTCCCTTCGTCGTCAATATCAATAATTACCAGCAGGCGCAAAATGATCTTTCAGCAAAGACGATCCTGAATGTAGAATAATTAACTTGAAGCTCAGCAGCAGTGCAGGCCTCTATGCCAGACCTCAACAGCTCTTCAACTTGCAATGCTCAATTCAGTCAGCTCCCTATTCTTAATATTCACCTGTTTAAAGAATTTGATAGGAAATTCTAATAAGGCGCCTAACTGTTTTCTGATCTCCACCAGGAGAGACCAACTATAGCATAAAGTACATAAGTCCCCTGCTTGACAGAAACTCGAATTTAACTGTGGAAAAGTACATCACACTGAATTTACCTTGTGCGCCCCCCCCCCCCCATAAGGTTTTTTTTACCTATAGCCTTTATGTGGGAATGGCCTGTATTTGCTCATGCCACCTATTATTTGAATACTAACTTTTATTAAAAAACAAGTCAGAGATGACAGACTTTCCCCAGCGGTATTTGAACACATCATAATTCTTTTATGGATAAATTACGAATGAAAAGGCAGGACGGCAATTTCAGGTCAAGTCGAGGGGGCGTCCTGGTGACTGATTAGCAGAGAGAGTGCATCCGTTGAAATCAATATTGACCAGGCGTCTGCAGGGCAGCTCATGTTGGTGATTGACTGGTGAAACACTACTCGACACTTACTGAAATTCAACACACTCCTGGATACTGTAGAGTTCTGTGCTCTCCAATGATGGTGACTGTGCCCCTGATAGGGCTTATCTCAAGAGAGGAATTCCAATCCCAAAAGACGCAGATATACATTCAACATCAGGAATGGATTGGTATTCTGTTAACGGAGTTTTGCTTACTCAGCTCTCCTGCCTTATTCCCCGATCTCTGGGGAGAGTTTCACAGATACGATAGGGAAACACACCATGTATTGCACACACACACACACACACACACACACGTTGGAACCATTCCAGCCGAGCACAGCAGCGGCCGGAGCAGCACACCTGGGATAATTGGGCAGAGAGGGAGAGCTCACAGCACCCAGGGTGTGTGTCGAATGTGCGCGTCTCTACCCTCGTGTGACCTAGAGCCTCTCCTTCACTGATAAGATGATAGATAGTGCAAGCTTCCTCTCTCTTCCTCATCCTCATCTCCCAGCCCGTCCATCCATCCTCTCTGGATGGAGGAAAGAGGTGGGGAACAAAGTGATGGATGGAGTGTGGAAAACTTTTCTCCCGTGTTTTGTTCTTTTCCTTGAGAGGACAGAAGTGAAAAAAGTAAGCATGGAGGGGGTGACACATGACGTTCAGAGAGACAGAGGGAGAAATGGCCAAATCTCTAGACAGGAAAGTCTAGACAGCAGCCTCCTCCACAGAGTCTTTCATGCACACACACACACATGTTGAGCAGCGCTGTTTATCTCCCATCACACTCACTCAGGGGAGAGTAAATTTAAACAATTGTTGACCAGAGGAGAGGAAATATGATTTGATTAGTCATGACAGCAGACCACAGGAGGGCCTGGCTGGAGTCTCTCTTTCTCTCTGTCCGTTATCTGATTTGCCTTCCCCTTCTTAATATTTTCACCTCTCTCTTTACATATCTCTTATTCTTAATGTGAGTCAACCACCTTGAGCGACTTGAGTGCGAGGAGAGTGTCGTTGTGTTTCACTAACCGCATTTTTGTTTTTCAAAGCAGCTTTGGATGCTCCAGTCCTCAACACACACACAAGGTCTACTGTACAGTGTCCCAGTGTGTTACCTCCTATCTCACTTTATGAACGCTACCTCCCCCCCCCCCCTCCCCCCCCCCCCCCCTCCCCCTCCTCCCCCCACTTACTTCCCCCTTCCAACAGAAGCTCAGAGTAAGCCCTACTACTCAGATTACTCCCCCACTCGCCTGCTCATCCACAAGATGTGCACCAGCCAGTACCTGGACCTGTTCATCACCATCATCATAGGGCTCAACGTCATCACCATGTCAATGGAGCACTACCAGCAGCCTAAGGTCAGATCTGGGGGGGAGGACGGTGGGGTAAAGAGGGGCCCTTGCTTGAAATATTCAAACCTGCACTTCAGTAATAAATTCAAATGTGTCCTTGAGTTTGTCTTATCGGTCACTCATTGCAATCACGTATCGGGCGTAGTGACATCTAAGTGTGGTGTGATGATTCAATGCAGTTTGTTTGCGTACTGCGTCAGTACCCCGACTGACAAGGGCATTTATTTTATCCTGTGTTACACACAGTTTTGTGTCTGGTTTTAACAGTTTCAAAGCCATTTTTACCACTACACAAATACAATTCAGGTGTAAATACCAAATTCTGATAAATGGTTTAGCTTTTAGCTCATGAATATTGGCACAGAATATTGGCTGTCTGAAAAATATCAGTATCTGCTTTGGCTTTTAAAACTTTATATGGAATATTAGTTTCAATCTTCCTAGAACAGCAGGTTTATGGCTTCACAGTACTTCAGATAGTGTCAGAAATAGAAGCTGTGCCAATGATAATAAAATGTCAATAATAAAAAAGAGCATGTCAAAACACTGTTACTAGTTCTTTAAACAAGGGAAAGGAAGGGAGCAGGTCAGCAGACAATAAAAAGGAAATAAGTTAAGAATTGGAAAAGCCTTCAAGGAAAGGCAATGGTGAAGAGAGGTCAAAACAATAAATATGAGATTAATTCTGGTACACCCAAAGGGTAATACAAATCATATGTATTCTAAGAATCCACACCAAGGTCTGCTGTGGATACTTAGGATTTATAGCACATGTTAATCGCCACCAGGCAGCTGTTCCAGCTGGGATTTGTCTTTTGTTCCTCAAATTAGAAATATTTCTATTGCTTCAACATATTGTTGGCCACCTGCTGCAGAACTGATCTAAACCCTGAGGTGGAGGTAGAACAAAAGATGGCTGAGGGAGGTGGAGGGGAGAGATGGTATTTAGCAAAATACCACAAGAGTAAAAGAGACAAAGTGATGCAGCGTAAAAGAGTGAGAGGTATTAGCAGTAGAAGATTTGAGAAGAATACAGTGACAGTAATAGGGCAGATAGGGCGGCAGTGTGGCCTGGTAGATGGAAATGGGGTCGGGTGAGAGGTAGTAAGGTTGTTAAAGACATAAGAAGTAGAGAATGGTGGTATAATCCTGGGGATGAATAGGACTTTTGGTAGAGTAAAAGTTTTTTATGGTACAGAAGTTTATTGGGTAGAATAGAAAGTCTTAAGGTACAGTAGAAGGTTGCTGGGTAGAACAGAAAGTCTTAAGGTACAGTAGAAGGTTGCTGGGTCGAACAGAAAGTCTTAAGGTACAGTAGAAGGTTGTTGGGTAGAATAGAAGAACTTTGGGTACAATAGAAGGTTGTTTGGTAGAATGGATATTCTTAAGGTACAATATATCGTTCTTGGGTAGAATACAAAGACTTTGGTTACCATAGACGGTTTTTGGGTAGAATAGATAGTCTGAAGGTACAATAGAAGCTTTTTTCTATCTGTATTCAAGAGTGTGCGATTCTAATTTGAGAGCTGGCCTCACTGATTTTTTTAATTGTTTCACTCAAAACTCTTACCAAATTGAAAAGAAACCTGCTCTTGATTAGCGATATAGGAAAAAATCTCCATAGTTGTTGGGTATAGTGGGTATTTAAGTCAGGGGTGTTAAGGAATTCACTATTTGTAGTGAATGGTTATACAGTTGATCAAATATTGTTTGGTTGAATGGATTGTCTCCAGATAAAGTTAAGAGTCTTATTAAGAGTAAAGAGATGTATCACAAACTGGAACTATAGCTGTGAGTCGATGAATTGCCACCAGTAAGGATTTAGTGAAATCCCTGTTGACCACCAGTTCTCTCCCTGTCTCGCTGCTAAAGGTCAGTTTCTACATGCAGATGGGCACTTTGAATTCTCCCACAGGCTAAAATGGACACTTTTGATTCTAATGGCCTTTTTTTAATGATGAGGGAGGGGCCGGACAATGTGGGTGATCTGTTAAGAGAATAGCTAACTCTAGAAAAGAGGACAGAGTTTACAACATGGACCTTGCAGACTTGTGAATGTAGGAATCATGTATAGGTAGACAGCTATCCAGATATCCACCATAGCAAGTACAAATTGGTGAGATCCTTTCATTGACTTTCAGCACATTTCTTACAATGAGAGGCAATGAAATCCACAGCTCACTCTGCTTACATACCAGATAAATAAGCATAAATGCAATGCTAGCTCTACTGACTTCTCAACATGGATACTTGTGCACTTTATTAATCTGTAATATTTATCCATCCTTCAGGAGTTGAAAAAGGCATTGACGATCTGCAACTACGTCTTCACCGTCATCTTTGTCCTTGAGTCCATCTTAAAGTTGGTGGCCTTCGGCTTCCGACGCTTCTTCAAGGACAAGTCAGTATTTAATTGCCATGATCCCCCTTAAAGGAACAGTGTGTAGGATTACCGGGGATTTATTGGCAGAAGTGGAATATAGTATTCATGTTTTTACAAGTGTATAATGAACTCAAACTAAGAATTGTTGCGTTTTAGTTCCGTTAAAATAAGTCCCTCATATCTCCTTCGGGAGCGGGTCCTCTTCATAGAGTCCGCCATGTTGCGCCGCCATGTTTCTACAGTAGACCAGAATGGACAAACCAAACACTGGCTCTAGCTGGAGCCTTGCGGGTATTTTACGTTACCTGAAGGCCAACATAGTTCTCCAACACGCTTGGAAAGGGAGGGAACCACACCAGTAGATGCCACTTAACCATACACACTGGTCCTATAAGTCACGTAATCACCTTTGTCAAACAACTCCGACAAAGAACCGACAGAAATCCTGAAAAAAACCACTTAACTCCTAGTTTAGAGTTTTGACACGTTAGTGGACGTGATATTGTAATAGAGCGGTGGTTAAAGGTACCGCTCTCTAACCTCTGAGTCATGTGGAAAATCTGAGGCAATGTTCAGAGAGCCTAAATTAGCTTTTTCTAACATGCTCCAGTGGATGGTTCTCAGTGACGCCTGTATGAATACAAACGGCGTCGTTAAACACCCATAAAGCACGCTACCTCAGATCATTTCATAGCTTCGAAATCCCTGGCTTCCCCCTGAAAACCACACAATAACTACACAAACACAATCGCACCAGCACAAATGTCTACTACCACACATCACATGCATGTAGATACACACACTAACACACACACACACACCTCAGTGGAGGCGTGATGTTTTTGGAACAGCGCTGACCACCAGGGGCTCCATGATGTCCACTCTCTTTGCCAGAATCGACTATTAATCCTTTTTGGTTTTGGCAGTGGTCCAGTTTGATATTACCACTATTCACATGAACTCACACGCAGGTACACACAAACACAACATTCACCCAAGACCCCAAGGACTAATTTAACAATCTCATTGGATATTACGTAGATGTTCTTGAAGTTGATTCTCACACTTTGAGTATCTAATTAAGGACGTTAAGGATGAGCTACGGAGTGGACTCTGAAACCTGCTCATGTAGAAGAAACAATGGGCATTGATAAACCCTGATTAGTACGACCACCCACCACTATCTTCACTGACTTTAATTCTTTAATTTTGTTCCAGACATTTGTTCAGGGCACATTAATTGCACAGGGGCTGGGAATTTAGATTTTGAACACTTTGAAGTCAAGTTGACAGTACCTGGGAAAGAAAGCAGCCCGCCGACTCCTGATCTGAGTCTGCCATATCTATTCTTATGATACACTAAAATGAAATGATACCATTGCTGCTTTTTTTAATCTGCCTAATAACACTAAAATATTCTGCACACTCCCATGCATACAGAAAATTGTCTCTAAATTTAAAGTTGATGTGCCCTCTAGGCTTGAAAGGTTGTAAACAGCGTGTTTTCCGCTCCTACCCGAAGCCCTGCAGCCGTCTGCGGCTTGGATTCCTTTTCAGTTACATTGAATTCTAGTAACACAAGGTTTCAAGATGTCTATCAGGTCTAATCAAACCACCTCTGCTGCACATATCCGTTGTCCATCTCTACGATTAGTATCATGTTTCAAGCAGTCGTACATTCACCAATAGTGTGCGTAGCTCAACACACAGCTTCTGTTTGTTGCTCTGAATGAGTGAAAACACAGATTACAGGACTGATTAGTAAAACTTCACTCTTCTGTTCATGACAAGAGTCTGATGTGTTGTATTTTACAAATATATCAGTTTTTGAAGCCAGTCACATTTATCATAGGTTTCAGTGAAAAGAAGTGATCTAAGTCAGTGCTAGGGACCGACGAGTGTGTGTGTGTGTGTGTGTGTGTAGGTGGAACCAGCTGGATCTGGCCATCGTGCTGCTGTCCATCATGGGCATCACTCTGGAGGAGATCGATGGCAACGCGCTGCCCATCAACCCCACCATCATCCGCATCATGAGAGTGCTGAGGATCGCACGAGGTATGAACCCCCTGCCTCCTCCCCAACTGCCCTTCAATTTTCATCCATCCGTCCATCCATCCATCCCAACGTCTAGCTGACACACTCTCTCACAAACACGTGCACACTCTTTTTCACGGTGCTGTCATTTTAAGATGCCTCGTTAAACAGCCACGTCCCCGGGACTCCCATCTTAATCATTTTTGCACGGCAGGTCTCAGCAGGGTTCGGGCAGGGTGTGAGTCGACCAGATGGCACAGAGAAACACAGTAAGCTGACAAACACAGCACTGAGAAGGAGCTGAGAGTTGAAAGTATTGAGACAAAGACTGAGAAATGGGAGAGATGAGGACAGAAAGCTACGGGTGGGACTCTTATGGCAGTAATTGAATTAAATTCCGAGAAACTGAGACTAGGTATGGAGGGAGTAAATGAGAGAAGAGAGGGAAAAGATGAGAAACAAATGGAGGAGGCACGGATGATGCATGTCTTCTGACCTGAAAATAGATTATAAGAAGATGGAAAGAGGAGGGATTGATGTTGGAGTGAAAAAAAGTATGAATGAGGAGGAGATACATGAAAGGAGGAAAAGGTATGTCGATGGGTGAGAGAGACGGAGGCGTAGAGTTTAAATGGCGGGGCAGGTGGAGGTGGTTCAGAATTGGGAATAGAAGAGGAAGGGGAGAGCAGGACTGCCCGTGTGCTTCGAGCTGATTACTCTCCGGGTAATTAAAGATAAGAGGAAGGTCGGAGGGGAGGAAACGGGGGCAAGAGGAGGAGAGTCCCGGCAGAAAGAGGAGATGAGACGGGCAGGAGGGAAGCTCACCTGTTTGGTCTGATTACTGGACGCGTAATAGAAGAAGTAGCATGGAAGTCGTTATCGATTACTGTCACACAGAAGACCGGGCACAAACACATGCTTTAGTGTGCAATGTGTGATTTGACTGGGTACAGAAGTCGGCTCATTTTACATCTGGCATCAATGTGCATCTCATGTTCAGACTGTGTATCATTCACACACTGGCTGCCCTGTCATCACATTTGAACTTTCCTCGTCGACATTGATGTGCAAGTTACATCTTCTGTTGTTTGAAGCTAAACTCTTTGTCTTTCTCAATTCTCACATTCAGATTTTAGCGACTTCGATTTTTTTTTTCTTTCTATATTGCACATACTTAAAGGAATACTTCGACATTTTGGGTAATATGCTTGTCCGCTTTTAGAGACGATCATTACCACTCTCATGTCTGTATGGAAATTATAAAGGTAACGCCAAGAGCCAGTTAGCTTAGCTTAGCACAAAGACGGGAAGCAGGGGGGGAAACAGCTAGCCCGTCTCTATCCAAACGTTTCTGCCTACCAGCTAAACTCATAGCTGTTTAATTTACATCTGTAGGTTAAACCCAAAATCTTAGTTTCTTGGTCTAGGCCAGTGACCCACTGTAGTTGTGTCATCACTGTGGGGTTGCTAGGCAACTAGTGGAGACTCCTGGAAGTCGGCCCAGGCAAAAAAAAAAACAAATTTTTCGAGCATCTCTACTTCTCCATTCATTGTTATGCACTGTCTGTCAGTCTTGGCGTGCCTCCACTGGTACCCCATTGCCATACCAATGACTTAAAAAGGAATAAAAGTACATGTGTGGCTCCACTAACGGAGCAGGATTAGTCTGTAAGGAAGGAAGATATTGAGTCCTTTCAATTTCAAAGAAGGCGTGATGGCACAAGTCCCTGTTCTGTTATGTAAGACTGAACATTCTTAATATTGGTTCGACAATTTTTTCATTTTCTGTGTGTGTATATATATATATATGTGTGTGTGTGTGTGTGTCCGCAGTTTTGAAGCTCTTGAAGATGGCGGTGGGGATGAGAGCTTTGCTGGACACCGTTATGCAAGCCCTGCCTCAGGTACACAGTCAACTCTGTTAAATAACATCCGCCGAAGCCACCGAGTTCTCTTTTCCTTCCTCATCCTTGTTTTTCTACATGGAGCTTTCATAACACGTCCCACCGAAGCTGTCCCTAAAGTTACATCCCAGAAGCCTTTCGTTTTTCGGTGCATAGTCTTCTGTTTCGGGGCGTCGTCGTTTCCCTTGAGCTCTTTTTTTTTCACCGACTCTAGAGACCCTTATTTGCATAACCACCCCCCTGCTGAGATCGGGAAGTGAATGTAGCTTCAGGTATTTGTTTTGAACGGCGGTGGGTGGTGGAGGTGGTAAAGTTGAACAATTTCTGCAGCGTTTTGGATTGAGTGAGAAAAATAACGCTCAGTCCTACGTTCACAGCGCTCTATAATACTACCTCTGTTTGTCATTCAGAGAGAGAGCGAGAGAGAGAGTGAGTGTCGTTCCAGGCTAATTCCTCCTGGACCCTCCTGGAGCTTGTCAGAAGTGTTCATGATTAATACATCCCATAATAATAGGGGGTGGTGGGAGTGGGAGCAGGTTGCCACACGCTGATTAGCATTGACAGTAGTAGCAGCCACAAATCCTCAAGCTTTTCACGACCGAAACCTAAACCTCAAGTGTCAAAGCAGTGACTCCCTGTTGTCTTTTTCACTCTTGTCCGGGATCAGCTGCACTTTTAGAGATCCTCATATTTTTATCGGATGTTTCTACTTTTTACTCCTTTGTGTTAGTCTTCTTACAAGTTGATAATCCACGAAAAACAGCATCACTCTTATGTTGCAGTGTAAACAACTAAGACGAACCAATATGTTTGAGAAACGACGAGTTTAGCTACAACTGACGGAGTCTAATCTTCCCTAAATCCAGCAGAGTAGGGACAAAGGAGAGCATATCAATGTTCCATGGGTGTTGTGTCTCCCAGCTCAATCTACTCTTAATGTAGCGCATTAGGAAGACTTTTCAAAGGGTTTCATGGTCTTAGCAATGTTTTTATCCCTGGGTCGGTTATGTTGAGATCACCCCCCTACACTTTATAGCCTACTCATGATATACTCCTTGAAAGCATCGCAACTCAAATTAGCCGGCAATACATTTTTTCTTGACTTTTAGACATTCATATGTCCACAGTGACTGAATGGATTTTTGCCATTCAAGCTACATTTGAAACGTCCATTTCCCTTTGTTCTTTTTGCAATTGAACTGAGAAGATACACCCTGGGAACGTAGGAACGACCCCGGACAGGGCTGCTAACTTCAGTCCACGTTATAGCACCAACTCCCACACAATGATGAGATACTACACAGTGGATGTGCCACTTGTTTTTTTTATCCACTCAATGTAGCACGAACGCTCAATTAAAGCTTAGTTACTACGACTCGGATAGTTAGCCACACATGCCAATATATAAAACACACTGTCAAATCCGTTCCTTACATTCGTCTCCTGGTTTTGGAAAGGAGGGAAAAGAAAGAGATCATCGTCCAAACTCTTTCAATGCTTCAATGTGCAGAGAAATCAAAGGCTTGACAGGCCTGCCATGCCTAGTTGCGGCTCTAAGCTATAATTGGACAGTCGCCGTTAGCGAATGGTTCAATTGCAAATTGCCTATATTTTGTCTTGGCTGCTTCATCATGACCCGTTGTTGTCCCTCGTTATTGGTTTATTTTGCCAGGGATTTCTCTCCTCTGACTAATCCCTCTCTCTTCCTGTTGTCTCTCTCTCTGCAGGTGGGGAACCTGGGTCTTCTCTTCATGCTTCTCTTCTTTATTTTTGCAGCGCTGGGGGTAGAGCTGTTCGGTGACTTGAGTAAGGGACACATGCACCGTGTACAAAAACGAGTCACACACAGACGCACCACTCAGTATTTAGTTCCCCCCCTCTGTGGGTTTAATCTATCTGATGTTAATTGCTTTCCAAAACCCTTTGTTGAAATGCCGTATCGATTTCTCTTTTTCACATTCTAGCTTGTAGCTTTCAGACTAATAAAATACCATATAAAGGTTATTAACATTTAATTGCAAAGCCCTGATGTTGTTACATCTCTCTTTATCTCCATCTCTCTCCTTTACTATCTGGCTATTCCTCTCCTTCTTCATCCCCTCCCTCCTCCTCCACCTCCTCTCCCAAGTCTGTGATGAACTGCATCCATGTGAAGGTCTGGGGCGCTATGCGACATTCAAAAACTTTGGGATGGCATTTCTGCTGCTCTTCAGAGTTTCCACTGGAGACAACTGGAACGGCATAATGAAGGTGAAACTACCACTGCTTATGTAGTGAGGCAGACTAGCAAGAGCGTGGCGGTCGTTGTGATGGATGGAAAAACATCTGACTTTGACACCAGAGACCTGACACCATCAACAGCATCTTTCCCTAACTTTCACCACACTATAGCTGAAGTTATCCATGTATGGATATTGCAGACAAGACGCTCTATAATGCTGCCATAGCTAAATGTCAGCATGCACATAAATAACAATGTGAACAATCTGATGTTTAACTAGCTAAATTAGATGTGAAGGTATAATGTATACCATGTTTATCATCTTAGTTTGCATGAAGTACAGCTGAGGTCGATGGGGATGTCATAGGTTTTGCAGGTATTTGCTCAAATGAAAGATTTGACCTGACGGGGGCACTAGATTAAAGATTCAGGTTCTCAACAAAATGATTACAGTTCCTCCTGATGGGGAACATTAATGTGTTCTTCCAATTGTTTTTGAGACATTTCACTAACAATCACAAAGGTGGCTCGACTCATGGGATTGCCAAAGTCCAATGTCTGCGCTAAAGGCTGGTGACAATCCATATAATAGATGTTGACATATTTTACTGGATAAGTGAAAACGTTCACCGGCTAGTGACGCCAAAGTAAGCAGGCTTTTTCCTTTGGGCAGCATGAATATCACGGGAATCCTTCCAACAGCATTTTCTGGACTGACCGGCATTGCCATCCCTAGAGAGACAACATTGCCATTGGGCATTCACGCTGTCCTTATTAAATGTGATACAGGTTTTTTTTGCACAATCATCCAATAGCAGTGTTCTGTTTGTGTACTGCCTGCTGGTAAAGCTGTAGCTGATCAGCTCATGTCATGTGCTCATGCTTCTTCCAGGACACATTAAGAAACTGCGGCCAGAACAGCACCTGCTACAACACCGTGGTCTCTCCCCTCTACTTCGTCTCCTTCGTTTTGACTGCTCAGTTTGTCCTGGTCAACGTCGTCATTGCCGTCCTGATGAAGCACCTGGAGGAGAGCAACAAGGAAGCCAAGGAGGAGGCGGAGCTGGAGGCGGAGCTGGAGCTGGAGCGCCAGATGCAAAGTGGAGACATGGCAACGAGGTCGCCCCAGCTCACCCCTCTGGCGCCGGGCATGGACAGGTCGAGCTCCGGGGGTTCCCCTTGGAGGTCCACTGGAGGAGGGGACGGGGACCAGGAAAGAGAGTGTCCTATGGACTCGCCCACTGCTGATATAACCAGAGACTCTGTAAACATCACAGCAGACCCCCCTTCATGCCTGGAGCCCCCGCTGGAGGTAAGGAATCTGTTTTGGTGTTCCTTATAAGCGTATGCGTTAGCCATTCTTAGAGCGTATTTTGGTTGTTTTGTTATGATCTCCCGGAATACCCCTGTGTGCATGCCTTTATCGCTACATGCTACACGCTACATCACCATTGTGAGCATTGATAAGATCCACATAATTGCACACAAGTAAAAGTGAGACTAAACGTCATTAGATAATGTCTCGGTCAGATTGCACAGTCTCAGAGGTCCACTCCTCGCATCCTGAACAACATGACAGATGCTCTGAGGTCACTTCCTGCTGGGGGCCAGGCCGTGAGGCCAGTCAGATGAGCCCCACGTCTCCGGTCATTAGTTCTGAAACTATTAGTTAACTCTCCGGCCCATGCTGAGGGACACTGAGCATGCTGGATGGTAGCTGAAATAATAGATTTCTTGGGAGGAATGTCTCTTCGCTGTCTGAACCGTAGCCCGTATGTAAACAAACTGTAGCGGAGTATTGGCCATAATAGGACATATTCACTCCATATTCTGGCATCATTTTAAAATATAAGTGGATGCATTTATGAGTGATGTATCCAAAATCAGAGTGATAATTGTACGTATAAAATGCACTGGATATGCAAATGTAGGTGTAACCCATACTGACCCATATCAGCATGGCTTACAGTTTGTTGTGCCCGACTGTGTGTGTGTGTGTGTGTGTGTGTTGCTGGTCCCTGTAGAGGACATGCCAGTCAGTGATAGGTCACAGTGCCATGGGAAAGCTGGACCACAGGGCCTTGTTGTTCACTTAAACAGCTATTTCCAGACGGCGGGGAACTTTTTTTTTGGGGGGGGGGGGGGATAGGAAGTAGAGGTCTCGCTGTCGTTATGTTTCCCCTGTAAGATGTTATCCTCCTTCCTCAGCCGCTCCTCCAAAATACATGTGTGGTTAAGCCGCAATCTCCTCTCCAGCCCTGTGAGAGACCAGCTCTACTTTGGTGTCGTAGTGCCCCCTTGTGGAGTTCAATGGTAAAACACATAAGAGCCTGTGGTGGATAGATGGTTGGTTGGGAGTAGGTTATATATATATACTGCATATTTAATTGCTGCATGAAAGCCTTAGGTTATTTAGGACGACACTTCCAGGTCTGGATACTAACTAAGGCACAGTGTGATAGATACTCTCGTTCTCGTACTTCATGTGTTGCTTATGTCTTGTTTCTGCTTGTATGTCTGTTTGTTTTCGACCTGATCGATTCTTTTCCTTCCCTTTCTTTCTTTGTCATCCGCTCTTTCTTTCCACATTTTAATCCTGTGTCTCTGCCTTGACTTTTTCCTTTTCTTCAACTTCTTTCCGTCCCCTCCTTCTCTCTCTCTTTGTTTTCTTTCTCTGTTCCTCTCTCCGCTCTGTCTTTTCCCTCTGCATCATCTAAGTTTGTCCAGCGGAGAGCGCAGTTTGACTCGGTCTCCCTGGTCATCCAGGGTTCAATGGAGGGAGAGTTGAGCTTGATGGACAACCTGTCTGGCTCCATCTGCCACTACTACGCGCTGCCCCCCAAGCCCCGCAGGCACAGCAGCGACGAGAAGGTCAATAATCACCAGAGTTATGATTCACTTCCTCCATTTCATACGTCCAGTGGGTCTTATTTTTTTGGAGGAGGCTGCACAAGCAATCATGAAAAAATGAAAATTACAAAGCAGAAGTTGCTGCTGAATGTCAAGAACAAACCCCAAAACATTACAGACAGCATTCTTTTCCTTTTACACAAGGGTAAATACCATAACATGCCTTGTTTTCAATACAGTCTCACTTAGGGACTTTCTTAGAACGAGTTTCAAGGGTCAGTTCATCTAAATAACAATACATCCCATTTTCTCACTTAATGGTTTTTAGCCCAGGTTTTGAGATCATTCCAAACGCATTAAAGGTGAATGGAATTTTAGCTTTTTAGTTGTTTTTGTGTTACTAATTAAATAACCGCATGTTCTTTCAGAAACAATGCCCTGGCCACTCAGGATAATCCACAGACCCACAGAGAGATGCCGTGGTTTTAAACGTAATTTTCCAGTGCTGTGAGCAGCACAAACAGTTTTATTGACCTCAGTGGGTTAAAACCAGTCCTATTATCTTTGTGCTGGTTAAGCTATTTAACATTATGATTTGCATTGTATTGTATGTATTAGGTGTATGTTTTTTTTTGTCTTTTAGCCTCTCAGGACCCTGTTGAAAATACATTTTCATATCAAATCAAATGTAAATTCTGCTTTTCAAAATCACCTTTATTTTTCAGAGATATTCTCATTTTCTCATAAAAAACGGGCAAATCAAACTTTGTTTGAAATGATCCCAACTCACATAGAAAATAACTATAAATAAAGGAGCTGTAGCTCCTTTAACCACAAGGTTGGTTAATACGATCAGGGGTCACAAACAGTTTGGAGCCGCTGCACTGAGTTTAAGTGAGATTTCATTTGGGTGAACTGATCCTTTAAATGAAGATTAGATAAAGATAAAGAAGAACTGAGATGAGTTTGGTTGACTCTTGAAACAACATATTTCATATTAAGACCAGGTGAAGAGTTTACCACTTGTTTTATAGAAAATGAAATTGTATGACTCAGTACCAGACTAAATCACTTAAAGATGAATAAAGTTTGTCGAGTGCAGAATTCCTGGCCTACACAGTAAAAGACGCTTATGCAGACTTTTTGTTCACAATAACCCAAGAACATTATTTCATAAAATTCACGGAAAAGCATGCGATGCTCTGCACATATTGTGCAGCCCTACAGCCATTACCGCTTTTGTGCCGGCATTCCTTCCCCCCTTTCTAACCAGCCCTGTTGCCCACCACACTGCGACGCGTCATATCCCGCCTTAGCTATGATCTCATTGATCATGATCTTAGTGACATGGTTTAGATTTTGCTCTGTCTCCTTGACACAGCTTCGTGTCTGTTTGTACATGTTTGTGTGTTTGTGCATGCGAATCCCTACTTTGCAAAACAGTCTCCGCAAAGTGATCACACCCTTTACACACAAGTCTGCAGAGTAATGGCTCAATAAGCTATGGATCACCGCGTCACTGAGTTATGCATCCGGGTGCCTCTTTTCCTCATTTGAAGGCAAGTTTTGGCCAATTACATTAGCATTACATAAGCCCATCTTCTAAAGCTTTCAATGGGTCCGAGATGTCATTAGAAGGTGCCATGCAGGCCACCTCTCCCCTTCGGATACACTCTCTGCTCGGATGGCCCATTTGCCTGTCAGAAAGCATTTCCCCCGTTAAGCAGCTACAAAGCCCAAAATACAGCAGCTCCCCTATACAGAAGCCAGAAAAACGCTGCAATTTAATGTGTGTGTGCGTGTGTTCGTGCCTGGACCCTGTCATTACACTGTTTAAAACCCCACAGTTGAATAATAGCGTTAATTTCTTTTAGCCAGCAGGAAAACAAATTGCCATAAAAGAGAAGACGGACTTAAAACAAACCAGTAAAAAGCACCAATCAAAGAATTTTAAATCAGTGTTAGGACAAGAACATTCAGTGCTTTTTAAACGTTGCATGCTTAGTAAATAATCTAGTTAAAAATGTCCCTGTAGCTCAAACCAAGATGAGGGTCCAAAAGCTATAAAAGCGCTTTCACATGAAGCGGTGTGGGTTCCAGGTATGAACCACACCCATAATCCGCATGCTCGGCGTCAGTCCGGAACATAGATAAGGAGGCAGTTTGTGTTATATGACCTCATAGCATAGACTGTATATAAGAAGTGAACATAGTCACCGTGATGTCACTCATTGGTAAGAGGACTATGGACAAGGTAGCCCCGCCCTAAAGCCTACTCCTCTTTATGGTCTAGTTCACTCTAAATGGACCATCATTTATTAAATGAATATCATGTTGTATTGAAGAAGACTTGAAACTAGAGATTGAGACCATAAACTCATGTTTACAATGTTTACTAAGGTGATAAATCAAGAGAGAAGTAGAGCCATTTTCCCATAGACTTCTATACAACCAGAGGAGTCGCCCCCTGATGGTCAATAAAGAGAATGCAAGAACAAGACACTCGATATGATGGCTTAAAAAGTCTAAAGATCGTCCATCCATGTAGTTTCCAGCCGATACATTTTGCTTCGTCCTCCCTTGTTGTATCGCTCGGCTACATACTTCAATCTTCATAGATGTTGTTTCAAAGGTGTATTTTCCTGTTAGCTACAGGTCTCATCTGTGTGTATCGTCCTTATCTTTGTGTGCGTTTGTTTTCTCTGCTCACCAGCCGTTGTCTCTCCCTGCCTAGATCCCTCTAGCGGAGATGGAAGCTCTGTCTCTGGCCTCTGAGAAATCCTGGTCCCTAGCTCTGACAGACGACTCGGCCCCTGACGATTTTAACCCTCTCTTTCTAACCAGTCTGGAATGCAATGTACTGACAGTTCCTCTCTCCCTCTTTCTCCATCCCTCTTCCTCCTCTTCCGCTCTGCAGTATCTTTGTAGTGTTTCCTTTCACGGGGCACTTCCAAAGCCACTTTGTACTCCCAATTACTCTCACACACTTGGGTGTAACAGGTTTACATTGACGGGGGGGAAACCAAGTGGATGCTCAATTAGCTAAACAGCTGATTAGCACCAGTAGTCCCAGCACAATTAAAAACATTTAAGAGGGCTATAATGATCTTTTCTTTCATTAATAATGGATCAAATAACTGGTATGTGAAAGGTGTTGCTCTATACTAATGAACCCACAGAGAGTTCCACACTTATCCTGCACTTCCACTCAGCTTTATTATGTTTTCCAGCTCATTGTTTTTGTATTTCTGAGCCGTAACATTACAGTTATGATTAACTCTTCGTGCTCTCATTGTTGCTGGTCCAATAGTTTCCCATAATTTCTTTTATGTAACTGTAAATCCAAAGGAAACTGTTCCTGGAAACCACTGTGTCATTTGCTATTACCTATTGGGACAATGGAGAGTTCAGTTGATACATTTCCAATTCAATAATTCATTTGTATTGCTCTCAAAAACATTGGGAGTCTTATAGTCAGTGTAACAGCATACAGTATACGATCCAACATGTATTGAGAATAAAGTGTCCAATGATGAATATTTAATTAGGATTAACTCAGATCTTTATCTCTATCTTCTCAATAATTAGTCACAAATGGCATCATTTTTTCCAGGAAACTTTAGAGGAAATTACCAGGATATTACAGACCCATGTGTACGCCTTGAATACGTGTCTTATTGGCTGGCATGTGTGAGGTAAAACCCTATTACAGATCAGTTCTTAAGGGCACACACTGTTGCAACACTATTTAGTTTATGCCCCGAGGAAAACAAATGGAGCTGGCTGCGTTAGGTGGTCATGTTAGCGCAGTCACTCCATCACTCCATAATGTCTGGATCTAAAAAATGACAGACTCGCTGGAAGGAACGCCACTGCTCATAGAGTTCTTTGTCACCACCTCATCCATTATTTTCTCCTACCAGGACACGTCCTGCATTTATACTTATGAATGCATCCTCACCAGGATTAGTCCATACATTCCTCTATGATATCCCGCCCCAGTTGGCTCTGGGGTAGAATATACTTTCATTGAAAGGACACCTTCCCACAAAAAAATTAATTGAATGTCAACTGGGTGTCAGGGTATAATTAACAACCAGTTTGGCACATTAATGATCACATCACTCCCCTGTATTCACATGTTTTCCCCAGAGAGGAGCCACTGTAACCTTGGCAGATTGTGCTGGGACAAATGTACAAAAAAAAAGAAGTAAGAGAGTGCAGAAGTAAAGGAGTACAAGAGGCGTTGAAAGACCCTGGTGAATCTAACCATGTGCCCTCTTTCTCTTCCCTTTCTCATTCCACCTTTCCAGCCTGTGTGTCACTCTCCAGTCCAGTCCAGTAGAGTAGTGCGCCTCCTCACCTGCCAGTTTGCGGTTTTCTCTCCTTTGTCTCTACTCTTATCTCTTAATTTCCCTTCACCTCTCTCTCACTGTAAACTAATTTCCTTCCTTCTTTATTTTTCTTATGTGCTTTACATGTGAGTCTCGTGGTCCTTTCCTATCAGTCTTCCTCTTGAGTTTGTCCTCGTCTTCTGCCCTCTGGGGTTGTGGTATTTTTGTAACTCCTCTCTTGAGTTGTCTTGTGTTTGCTACTGGGGTTGTAAAGTGCGCTGGAGCTCCAGTAGCTCTGTGATGAATGTGAACTGGTTCTGTAGTGGCCCCAGTTGCCACACAATCACGGAGCAGGCTTGCTTAAAGTGACGGGGCTGTGGGGGGTTAATGCAGACACATGACCTAGAGTGTCTTACGCTTAAAAAATTGCGTTTGGAAATTTCTACCTAGCATGGTCTCCTTTCTGTGATCTGTGGCAGCTCTGTGCCAGTCAACTCCAACATGCAAAGATCCTGTCTGTTTTCTGTGTATGCTGATGACCACTGCCTCTTTGCTCACATGGTGTCTTAATTAAAAATATATCAACTGTAAATGTGTTAGAAAGATTGTGAAAGTTCTTTGAGTTGAAAAGAAGCCCTGATTCATCCAGCTCCAGAGGGACCCTGACTCCCTTGTCTCTTTCCCCAGCCGGAGCAGCTGGATCCTGGGGAGCCACTGGGGGACAACCTGCTGAGTGTCAGGAAGCCTGTGGTGGGACGCACACACTCCCTGCCCAACGACAGCTACATGTTCCTCCCCCTGCAGCCCGTTGGCAACGCGGCCCCGCCTCCGGCACACCTTCTAGCACAGACACAGGGGCCCCAGCACATACTGGGCACCCACAGGGGCCAATCAGGTAATGTGATACAGTATTTATTTCATTTTAAATAAGCCTCACAACAAATTGAAACTAGCACCTGCGACAAAACACAGCACCTACTTACTGTTTTGTAATGCAGAACAGTTGCATCTGGATAGGTCATTTACTTGTTTTGATCCGGAATCTGTGACAACTCATTAGGATAGGACAGACATGGGAGGCCTTGTAACATTTGTTATCTGTAACATAATGTAAGTTGACATCAACCCATGAAGATACAGGTCATTTCCTCTGAGAACTAAACCCACCAGCTGCACCTGTTCTGATGTTTTTTCATATTCTGTGCTGCGCTGGTTTATGTGCAGGTTCCAGCAGCTCAGTGCGTTCCCAACCGGAGGAGCGTTCCCAGCAGCTGAGCATCCCCGCGGACCTCTTCAGACCCATCAGCCCCCACAGCCACTCCGACTCGGAGAGCATACCACGACTTCCCCCTCCCAGACGCGCACACACACTCAGCCGAACTCTCCGCAGACAGGTGACTAAATCCCACTGTTTCAGATGTTCCCTTTACTCCAAAATCACTCTTATAATCTTCTCCTGTCTGTGTCTGTACTGTGTGGGATGAAAGCTCAGTTAAAGTTATTCATTAGACAAAAAAATAATATAACTGTTTTTTAAAATCTCTTTAAATGTCAGATTTTCCCAACAAGTGTGGCCTTGGGCTGCGGTGGCCCTGAGAGGCAAGTGAGACAAAAATATTCTGGTAATCCATTTTCTAAGTCTTCTTTTTATTTTGAATAAAGCACACGTTTTGCCAATAATACTTTTTCTAAGTTACTTAAAAGTATTAGCAGGTGATTTTTTTTTTGTAAGGATCAGTGTTGTTGTCATACTCACTGTGGCCACAAGAGGCTGAACTGCCCCGTGTTTTAAATAGGACTGAAAGCATTCATGTTTTCTTCCAGGTGAGTTTTAGTTTCTCAATGCACTCTAAACATAAGTTACATATATTGTGTTAGCCAGTTATTTAACAATTACTGTCATGTCATTCTTTTGGCTAGAAATGTATTCATCATTAATCTCACATTAGGGAAAACAATAACACTTTTAGTCTTATTATGAACATGGGGTGGTTGTGCGCTTCAGCCTCCTGTGGACAGAATTAGTATTACAACAACAAACACTTTGAAAGGTGATCCTGACAAAAAAATAAAAACATCTGTGACAAAACCTCTTTTTCCCACGCTTTTACAGATGAAAATAAAATAACCTTTTTTTCAGCTGTTCCTAAAATCATGAACACAAGAGAGAAAACACTTCAGATCAGTCTTAGAAAATGGATCAACACATTTTCTTTCTCACTTGCTTTCAGGGCTTCTGTATATTGACACCTTGTTGCAGAGAGAAATTGGTTGAGAGCTTTCCTAAATCTCTTTCCTCGTTGCATGTTCTAAAACACTTTCACTTTTCTTCCTCCTTCTCTCTCCCCCTTTTCCCCGGTATTCCTATTTGTTATTAACCTATCCGCTGCCTCATTCTCCTTATGGTATCTGTTACTCTCTGATCTCAGCTCAGTTGGGCCCAAAAGCCGCCCGACCCCGAGCTACTGCTCAAACACAGATACTCCTGTTTCTGAAACCGCAACAAACCGCAGACCTTAGCTACCACTGGGCCTTTCAGAAACAATGGACTCCATGTTCATCTTCCAAGAGACAACCAGATTAACACAGGCACACAGGCTTCCCTCCCTTTTCCCCCCCTTTGTCACTCATTTGATTTTTGTCTCCTGCTAACCATCAGCCACAAAGCATCTAAAACTCTCTACCAGGAAGCTCTGCCGGTGGGACATCTTACTGGGACTTTGAGTTTATTCATTCTTCTCTCCTCTTATACGAGCAGCAGGAGCTAGGTGTAGCATCGCAGCAGGAGCTAGGTGTAGCATCGCAGCAGGAGCTAGGTGTAGCATCGCGTCAGTGGATTCGGTAGCTAAGTGATAGAATGTATTCAAGCCAGACAAAGACGCCGTTCGGCTTAGACATTTACCCACAATGCAGTGCACTTACTACATTACAAACTATACAACTCAGGGGATTGCTACAGAACAGACAGCGAGTGCTGTCCATATGCATTTGCCCATTTTGTACATGCAGTACCACAGTGATAGAGCACTTGTGAATTTTCTATTGACTAGGTTAGTGTTTTAACGGCATATAGCTGTTAACTCTATTGCAGTAGTTATTGCACTTAACCCGATATTGCTTAACAAAGTGTGACAGGGTGAGCTTTCCTTAGTAACGTTCCAGTTATTGTCTGTTGCTTGGTGTTCTATTGCTGTGGCTGATGATTGGCCTGGCCTGGTTGTGATATCTTTGACCACAAGGTGTCTCTGTGGTCCCACCACTCGAGGCTGAGGCAGGGACACCCATGAGTCCAAACATTTCTCAAAGTGCTGTGCCCCTTAAACTCACGCATGCCTCGCTTCCTCATCCCTACATATTCTGGTCGGTGAGGAATATTTTATGAGTTTTAGCAACCATAAACCTTCCTCTTCCTACAGTCGTTGCATGTTACGGTTGCCCTCTGGCTATTGGCCTCACACCCTGTAGATGGTTTTGTGCAGAGGCGAGGACGACGGCGGGGGAACCACTCGTCAGAATTTGGTTGTAAATTTAACGACAAAACTGCACCGCCGACAGTTTACAGGGCGTCGAGTGAATGGTCAAAGGTTTTGCAGTTTAGGTGGTCTGGTTCAGAGTTCACTGTGTTAGCCAGCGCTCAATCTGACGAGTACTTCTGTCCAACTAAAACAACAGCAGTGTACACTTTACTGATGGTAAAAAAACAAATAAGAGCTTAAATATAAGTAGTTAATTTTTACAGTCATCATGACCCTGTGTTAAGGTAAAATAAATAAAATAATACTCTGCTTTGAATAATCATTGTGTATGATATAGGTTTTCAACAGAAATGTCTGATTATTTTTAGTTAAAAATGATTTAAATTACATCTACTCCTTCTGCCGTATCAAAAACATCCATAATCTATGAATAGGCAAAAAAAAATGTATCTCAAAAGTTGAACTGCTGGACACAAGATGTCGCCTACTTAACTTATGAGCCCCTTGAATGAATGAATATTAGATCCAAACTAGTTGTGATGTCACAAAGTCCTCACGGGACACGCGTGTTACATGTTAAACTAAGACGTAAGGTGAGCACAGAGAAACGAGTGCAGGAGGCATTCACAATGACTCCTATCAGACGTGAGAAAACTAAATACTGGCTCTGCCTCAACAGAAGCATTTGCACGGTCAATTAATAAAACAAGACCAAAGTTACTGAGTTAAAAACAAGTTACCCAACGTACTCTTGACAAATCGCAAGAATTGCGTAACCTCTGTGTTTCCATGTTATTGTTCATGGCAAGAGGTTGCAATTGCAATTCAACCCCACGCTGCCAAGTACATAGAGGACTCTGGGAATATGATGGCCAGATGGTGAACTTTGACCCAAACTACTGCTTCTCATCCTCATCACCTCAGAATAACTAGTCTCCCCCCCTCATCTCCCCTGATCCCCCGTACCCTCGCTATCCCCCATCTCCTCCTACCTTTCTTCACTGCACATTTACCTCCATCTCCTCACCCTTCTCTCCTAAATACCCCCCCCTACATGCCCCATCTTCCAGGTTGCCGTGTCTACTGATTCTCAGGAGGCCCTGTGCTCAGACGGAGGGGAGGTCAATGAAGGACTTGTGAATGTGGCCTCTCCGGGCCTCCCTCCATCCCCCTCCACCTGTCCCTCCCCCTGCTCCCATCATTATCAGCAGCCCGCTCTCTGCCTGGTCCCCGCCACACCCGGCGCCTCCCCTAAACCCTCACGCCCCAGCAGCGTGCACACCCAGCTTCATGACCAGCACTGCCTCGCCTCCCACTCCCCTACTTCCCCCTCGCCTCCTCCGCTCTTACCAGCCAGGCAGCACCAAGAGGAGGAGGCCTCGGCGGATCAGGAAGTGTCCCTCATTACCAACGCGGTGTTGGCTGGCAGCGGTGGCGTCACAGCGGAGGCCAGCGGCGATGACGGTGCCGAGGCTTACAGCAGCTACGCCGGCTGCCAGGAGAGCCGGAGTCCAAGCCTGAGGCAACTGAAGAGGTTCCACAGCGCCGAGACGCAGGGCCCCAGCGCCCCCCCGCCCCGCCCCCGCCCTCACTCCTGGTTGGACGACCCACGATGTCACCCTGTGGAGGCGTGCGCCTCGGTGGAGTCCAGACCCGAGCGCAGCACCACGTCCACCTCCTCCGGCTTCGTTTCGCGGGCCAACAGCCTGCAGATCCACAGCCGGACCCCCACTCAGACCTCGCTGCCCTCACCCCGACACAAGAAGAAGATGAGTCCGCCCTGCATCTCTGTGGACCCCCCTGATGGACAGGAGGGCCTCTACCCGGGCCTGGGCGGACTCGTAGGCATGGGGCTGGGGGGATTAGGAATGCCCCCTCCTCTGCCCAGCAGGGACACCTGCCTGAGGAGAAGAGCGCCCTCCAGTGACTCCAAGGACTCCTTTGACCTGGGAGTTGGAGAGGGTTCGGGACAGGACGGAAGCGCCCCAAACCCCAACACCAACCCCAAGCTACTGACTCTTCCCAGAGAAGACAAGCCCTGAGCACTGAACACTGATACGGCGACACACACACACACACACACACACACACATACACACGCACACAGCTGGACGAATCCTTCACACCCACAAACACACGATGCACACTGTGTATCTGTGATGGTGATAGTTCTAGTAATAATGCTGTAGAGAGTAATAAAGGTAAAACTACAACAAACAGTAAAAACATCCTTGGTTTCATGAGGAGTGCAGTACTGTAGTAGTGTGACCATCCCTTGTCTTTGTATTGTTACTGCCAAAAGAACCAGAGAAGAAGAGAACACAGGAAACAACAACACAAACATGATTGTTTCTCTTCTGCTGCGTCTGCATGCCACTGGCTGCAGCTTGACCCCATAACCTCTGGAGTGACATCAGCCCCTGGGATTTGGCGCCCTCTGTGGTTGCCATCTGAAATGCCTGGTGTTGCACAGGGTGGGCTTTGCCCGATCAGTGGAGGTACAAAGCAATATGAACGTTTTAGAGACACTATTTTCTTAAATTATTGGGCCATAGTGTTTGTACAGGATGTTGTTGGGTTTTTTTCATTCGATTGTTTTTTTCATGTCTTTTTTTTGTGATTTTCTTCGTTTGTTTTTTTTCAAAATGGTTTGTCTTTGTCCTTTTTTTCAATGTAGGATATTTCTAGCTTTCTTAGTTTACTGAGGAAAGTGAATGTCTTTCAAAGTGCTGAAAACCTTGTATTTGTAGGAATAATATATAAATATCTAGATATATATATATCTATATATATCTATATATATGAAAAAAACAAGTCATTAAACTGAGTTTGGATTTTTAAGCACACGCATTAGACTGTGGTGGTTTGATTGTTTGAGGAAAGAAGAGGTTGCGCTTGAAGTTTTTCCCATTGATTGCTTGATTCCACTGAGACCGCAACAAGGTTGTGAAGACGGACAAGAACAATTTCAGAAAAACAGCAATTTAAAATTGATTCGACAGTTTCTTTTTGTTTGTTTTTTACCTTTTCATCCAAAACTAGGCAAAGCAGTGGATCCCCGGTGGGGTTGAGGCGGGTCTGGGTGACTCAGCAGAGCAGTACGGCAGTGAGAATGATGTAACACTGGTTGTACTCTGAGCTCTCGCTATGCATGGTATTGTGACATGCATTAGCAGGAAACAAATGTGCCTAAAATATCCTGTCTGCTTTCAGAACGGACAAGCGGCAGCGTACGGTTAAAGAACGTTGGGGACGAAGGAAACATGGCAACACACACCTGAACAGAAGTGAATGTATCTAACGAGGCACCACATCCTTCTTACCTGTTGATTTCTGATGTTAATGATCAGTAGGAGTTGTCATGACAAGTAGGCAACAGGATTCACTCGGCAAATTCCATTCAAATGAATGAGAATAGATTCTAACCAAAACATAGATATGGAGGAAACAATATGACTTGTCAAACATGCTTATTCGCAGTGATCTGGCCTAATTTGTTTGTCTTTAAACTGTAAAAAAATGTGTTCTGACTTTTATGCTAAAGAATGAATGAAATCATTCAATATACAAAATGATGAAAGTGCTAACATCTCAGCAGGAGCTAAAGGGAACTCCTCAGGCAGTTGTGTTCAACAAACAACCGCCTTTGGAAATTGATATAATGTGAGCCTGAAACAACAAAGCAGCTATAAATGGCAGTAATAAAACATTTATATGATTTAAAGGGCTCATGCTGCAAAATTGTAGAGCGACAATAAACCAATTAATTAAAACGTGTAAGCATCAATCTAATTCACAAATTAAGACGCTGTTTAGTTTTTACTGATTTTTCAAATGCAGATGAAAGAAAGTCTAGACGTGTTTTACCCCTCTCCTGGGGACATACATCTGATTACACAGTTGCATTGTGGGGACTCACCTTCCCAAATGGGGAACATTCATGTCCCCAAAGTACAGTTCAGTACATGTTAGGATTAGGCTGGTAGCGGGTACGGTTAGGGTTACGGTAAGTCTCCAGGAAATGAATGTAAGTCGAGATAATGTCCCCAAAAGTCATGAAAACACAATAGTATGTTATGTTTGTGCGTGTGCGTGTGTGTATCTATCTGTGCGTTGTGTGTGTGGGCTGCACACCGCTCCTGTTGAAATAAAGACCTGTTCTGGTAATAACAGTATCTCCCTGTCAGGGATAAGTGTTACTGACAACAATTACACAGGTACTCTTGAAAATCAGCTTGGGGATTCAAATTAGCATCATCAACAACTAGCAAAACGGAGCTTCATTATGTAAATATGCTGAATTTCAACATTATCTGCCGCTCACTTTACAACAGTAAATACCATTATAACACAACACAACGTAATAGAATGATAGCATGAATTGTGGACCTAATTTATCTGCAAGATTTCAGTATTCTACACACATTCTGTCATTGGCTTTTTAGTTCTTATAATATTCTCAGTCTGCACAGGCAGCCATGCATATAGTAATACAATTTCATACTTGCTCAGACAAATAATAAAAGCTTAAAAATTCAAACGTACTCACCATCTGTCGGCTTGAAATGCGGCTAAGAAGAGTTTGTATTTTGATCCCTCACAGTGGATGCCAGCTAGTCATTTGGTCATGCATGCTAACTTGCTCACAATGACAATGCTGACATGCAGATGTTTAGCAAGTTTTGTGTTTCAATGTCAACCGTCTCAGATTAGCATTTTGGCATGCCAACATTTGCTTATTGGCAATTTTAGTATTATTTTGACCTAATGTAGCCCTTATGATGGCGCCAGACTCAAAGTGAAGGGGTCACCACAGTCAATAGAACTGATCCTGCAGGGGACATGAAGATCTGTACCAAATTTGATGGCAATCCATCCGTTAGTTATTGTGACGTTTCTCATTAAGTGTAACTTAACAGCAGGATAAAATGCACTTGTAGGCACAAAAGTGATGTCACAGTGTATTGACACACCTAGGGTTACACGTCTCACTGCAGCAAGGTAAGAGGTTAAACCACTGGAATGGTTGACTTCATGGTGTCGTCAGAGGACATGCCTCGAGATCACTCGGGATCAGTAGGCTTTATCTTCTGGGGACCACGAATGTCTGTACAAACAATCATAGCATCAAATATGTGCAGGGATATTTCAGCCTGGGGTACAGACAGACAGACAGAGCCACTGGTGTGAGTCTTTGAGACTCATCCATACAAAATCTGCTTAGAATTTAAATTCCGTAAGAAATAATAACTTGTGGATATACAGTAAATACTGATGACTGAATTACAGATAACTTATGGAGACTCATCTTCCATCTCAACTGCTGGTTCAAATGCATAAAAACTTTACAGGAATCTCTGGTTCTCTTTGCATATGAATGAGCAGCAGTGAGGGCTCAGACATCTCAGGCTGAGGACAGCCCTGTCTGCGAAAATATCTGAAGATTTAGAATGTAAATGCGGATTTCTATCCAGTAGTAACAGTGTGTAAACATCTCACGGTTTGCCTGAGGATGGATGATGATGCTTTGACGTGAGGAGTTCTGTTGCCTTTAAAGAAGTCGTAATCGCAAACTTTTTTTGAAGTATAGTCTAAAATCTCGTGTACACGTGTAACCAATCCCAAGTGTCTGCGAATATATCAAATAACAGTCCAGACTGGCATTTCCACCCGCACTACTTTCCTTGAATACACCCAATAAATTGTCTGAGATGACTGAACAGAAAAACCCATTTCAAACACAATTCCATTTTCCGTCAGTGATTCTTTCACATGTGCCTTCACTTTTTTCCACTCTTTCTTTCATCTCCTATCACACTCCCCACTGCTTTTTCTCTCACCTGTCTTGGTTTTCATCTTTTCATTTTTACATTTCATGGCTGAGAGCAGGTTATCTGAGATGGGCTGGATTATTGTGAACACATGTATCATTTTCTGTTGTTGAACACTGTAGGTCCGTATGATTACAGCTTCAACTGTCAATATCTGATGTCTAATTAACACGAATCAGGTTAAGTTCTTGCCAATTTACGTTTATTTATTTTTTTTCATTATTTTTTTAATACTGACTTTATAATCTGTGATGTGACAGATTTTGGGCTGTGCTGAACATTTGGTAGGAGAAGGCGCCATTGGAGATCATGCCCCAAGTGTCACTGCACTGAAAAAAACATAAGATGACTTTAGCTTGTAAAATATTTTTTAAACATATGTAGCCTATATATTATTTATTTTTAAATTTTTCACACCATAGAAATTTGGTTTATTAATTGGTCTCGGATCCAAAACTGCCGCCGTGGTTCGGACAGAAACTATGCTGGCTTATGTAGGGTAGGGCCATAGTTGTTTGTGCGTGCTCCTCTGTGTCTGTCAACAATTACTCCAGCATTCTGCCGCAGCCAACTGCTTTATATTCTTGGTGCCCAGTTATGGCTGCTTGCTTAAGGACCTCTCATGGTTGTGTTAAGACAACTGAGTGCATCGCCGACCCACCGTCCGCTACTCTGCGCCCACAGTGAGGGATTAACGGTTTGGCGAAACTACCAGTAAACGCTGCTGCGTACCCCTCGGCTGCTGCGTACC